GATATTTATTTGACACATCTTAGATTTGTTATAGTTATATTTAACTTACAGCTAATAAGCAGTGCTGTATCATGCAGCCCCTGCGAGGCCGGGGTGCCCCAACAGCACCCAAAAAAAAGTATTGAAAATCATACTGTCGGTATTTCGAAATACAGTATAAACGGTATATCGCCCAAGCCTAATTCATGGTTATTTTCAACCTCTCCTTGTCCCAGTCTTTAATCCCCACGTCTTAAACTGACCACCATCATTCCTGTTCCCAACACTATAAGGCTTCATCCTACAATGACTACCGACCTGTATCAAATCAAATCAAATGTTATTGGCCACATGCGCCGAATACAACAGGTGCAGACATTACAGTGAAATGCTTACTTACAGCCCTTAACCAACAGTGCATTTATTTTTTATAAAAAAGTAAAATAAAACAACAACAAAAAAAGTGTTGAGAAAAAAAGAGCAGAAGTAAAATAAAATAACAGTAGGGAGGCTATATATACAGGGGGGTACCGGTGCAGAGTCAATGTGCGGGGGCACCGGCTAGTTGAGGGAGTTGAAGTAATCATGAAGTGATTTTGAAAGGCTGGTTATGGCACACATCAACTCCATCATCCCAGACATCCTAGAACCACTCCAATTTGTATACCGCCCCAACAGATTCATAGACGACGCAATCTCAATTGCACTCCACACTGCCCTCACCCACCTAGATAACAAAAATACCTATGTGACAATCCCAGGCAGCCGGTGGCACCTTAATTGGGGAGGACAGGCTCCTAGTAATGGCTGGATCAGAAAAAATCTAAACGAAATGATACCATTTCATTCACTCCATTCCAGCCATTATTATGAGCCGTCTTCCCCCCAGCAGTCTCCTGTGGTGAGAATGCTGTTCATTGACTACAGCTCAGCGTTCAATACCATTGCCCCCTCCAACCTCTCCCTCAACGTCAGTAAGACCAAGGAGCTGATCGTGGACTACAGGGGGCGGGGGTCGAGCACGCTCCCATCCACATCGACTGGGCTGCAGTGGAGGGGGTCAAGAGCTTCATGTTCCTCGGTGTCCAAATCACTAACGACTTAGTTGTCCCCACAGACGCGCGAAGTCGTGAAGAAGGCGTGTTGGCATGGGCCCTCAATTCCTCAAGTTCTACAGCTGCACAATTTGAGAGCATCTTGACTTGCTGCATCACTGCTTGGTATGGCAACAGCACCGCCCTCGATCGCATGGCGCTACAGAGGTTGGTGCGGACAGCCCAGTACATCATTGGGGCCGAATTCCCTGCCATCCAGGACCTCTAAATCAGGTGGTGTGAAAGCAAGGCCCGGAAAATCGTTAGACTCCAGCCAAAGACCGTTCTGTCTGCTTCCGCACAGCGAGCGGTACCGGTGCATCAAGTCTGGCACCAAACCTCTCCTGAAAAGCTTCTATCCCTAAGCCATAAGACTGCTAAATAGCTAACAAAATGGCTACACGGACTGAGTTGACACTTTATTTTTTTATTTTTTCACCTTCTCTATGCACACTCACCGGACTCTACACTAACACACACACTATTTGCTCACACACACATAACGTGCACACACATTTATACTGACTCTACACACACGCACACATAGTATTCAGACCCCTTGACCTTTTCCACAGTTACAGCCTTATTTATTAAATAAATGTTTTCCCTCATCAATCTACAAACACTACCCCATAATGACAAAGCGAAAACATGTAATGTTTGCAAATGTATTAAAAATAAGAAACAAAAACCTGATTTACATAAGTATTCAGACTCTTTGCTATGAGACTCTATATTGAGCTCCGGTGCATCCTGTTTCCATTGATCATCCACAACTTGATTGGAGTCCACCTGTGGTGAATTCAATTGATTGGATATGATTTGTAAAGGCACACACCTGTCTATTTAAGGTCCCACTGTTGACAGTGCATGTCAGAGCAAAAACCAAGCCATGAGGTCGAATGAATTGTCCGTAAAGCTCAGAGACAGGATTGTGTCGAGGCACAGATCTGGGGAAGGGTATCAAAATAGTTGTGCAGCATTGAAGGTCCCCAAGAAGACCGTGGCCTCAATCATTCTTAAATGGAAGAAGTTTGGAACCACCAAGAGTCTTCCTAGAGCTGGCCGCCCGGCTAAACTGAGCAATCGGGGGAGAAGGGCCTTGGTCAGGGAGGTGACCAAGAACCCGGTGGTCACTCTGACAAAGCTCCAGAGTTCCTTTTGTGGAGATGGGAGAACCTTCCAGAAGTACAGCCATCTCTGCAGCACTCCACCAATCAGGCCTTTATGGTGTGGCCAGATGGAAGCCACTCCTCAGTAAAAGGCACATGACAGCCCGCTTGGAGTTTGCCAAAAGGCACCTAAAGACTCTCAGACCATGATAAACAAGATTCTCTGGTGTGATGAAACCAAGATTGAACTCTTTGGCCTGAATGCCAAGCGTCACGTCTGGAGGAAACCTGGCACCATCCCTACGGTGAAGCATGGTGGTGGCAGCATCATGCTGTAGTGATGTTTTTCAGCGGTAGGGATTGGGAGACTAGTCAGGATCAAGGGAAAGATGAACAGAGAAAAGTACAGAGAGATCCTTGATGAAAACCTGCTCCAGAGCGCTTAGGACCTCAGACTGGGGCGAATGTTCACCTTCCAACGACCCTAAGCGCACAGCCAAGACAACGCAGGAGTGGCTTCGGGAAAAGTCTCAATGTCCTTGAGTGGCCCAGCCTGAGCCCGGACTTGGACCTGATCGAACATCTCTGGAGAGACCTGAAAATAGCTGTGCAGAGACGCTCCCCATCCAACCTGACAGAGCTTGAGAGGATCTGCAGAGAATAATGGGAGAAACTCTCCAAATACAGGTGTGCCAAGCTTGTAGCGTCATACCCAAGAAGACTTGAGGATATAATCGGTGCCAAAGGTGCTTCAACAAAGTACTGAGTTGGGACATTTCTGAATACTTATGTAAATGTGATATTTTCATTTTGTTTGTGTGCAAAAATGTCTAAACCTGTTTTTGCTTTGTCATTATGGGGTATTGTGTGTAGATTTGAGGGGGAAAAACTATTTAATCCATTTTGTATTAAGGCTGTAACAGAACAGAATGTGGAAAAAGTCAAGGGGTCTGAATACTTTCCGAATGCACTGTATCTACCTTTATCACTCCAGTATCCCTGCACATTGTAAATATGGTACTGACCCTGTATATAGGCTAGCTTACTTCTCGTGTTATTTATTTAATTTCTCGTGTAATTTATTTAATTTCTCATGTGTTTTTGTTCTACATTTTTTTTGTTAGTACTACATTGATATTGATTACTGCATTGTTGGGTTTGGAGCGTGCAAGAAAGGGATTAAAAATGGAATCCCAGCCACAGAGGTAGTTAGCTAGCTAGTAGCACACTGGATTAGTGTTTAGAATAGCCACAATAGATTACGCTCTTCAGTGTTAGCGAGCTAGCCTGTGTGCCTTGGACTCTAATTTCAAGTGTGAGAGAGAGGGACTGTCCGACCAGGTGTCCCTCACCATATATCTGAAATAATAAGCATCCTGTCAGTGAAATGGGCTCACTGTTCTCTAAAAGAAGACGCTAGACAAGAAATGTCCCAACAAGAAAATGTCAACAAAAATATTACCTTATCAAACTAGCTATAGGCCTACTTATACATATTTCTTAATGTTTGACTTGACAATGTTGTATTTGAGATTGATATAAAGCTTGTCTTCATGGGAACACTTTTCCAATAGCCTCCTTATTGCCTTCTGAAAGTGACTTACAAAAATCATATTTTGAGAAGATCATATTTCATCACATCTTGTAGAACACTACATCTCTGGCCTTTATCGTGTCATATAGCCAGTCTGTTTGCCTTTGTGTGCCATAGCCGAGCTGTTCCGAGTTTTTCTTAGGAACATTGCATGATGCCACATTCAGGGAAAGCTAACCCATGTGGCCTATTTTACATGCATCCAAATTGACATTGCATGCTATCCAATATCCATAACAGTGTTCTTCTCTGAGAGAACTCTAATAATTCCCAACAGTAGCCCATTCACTGTGTGTGTGAGGAGATGCTGGGTTTGCCCCATAGTTTGAGTTACAGATAGAAAGGGGCCATCTGAGGTGTCATTCTACAGCGGAGTTTAACGTGTGAGGAGAGCAGTGTTTAATGTAGACATAGGAGAGATTGCAATGCAATGACAGAGATTGCAAGAGGGAAGAAATCGTCCGACTTGGGGACATTGAATAGACGTTGCGTATTATTGGGATGTCCCTCCCTATACAGAGCCGATGGAGGATACTTCCCAGTCATTTACTAGTTAAAGAGGGTGTGTTTAGTCTCAGACCTCTTTCTATTCCTTTTAATCGCAAATTAATGTGTAACGCAGTCGTTGCGACAAAGGTCTCCCATTTATTCAATGTTTATGCTGGCAGTAGCCTCAGGAATGAATATTCCCTTTCTTCCTGGGGACCGCTAACTTATTAACAATTCCTCAAGAGTTACCCCGCCCAGCTTAACCCTCAGCTTGGCCGACGCCTATAAAAGTCCCATGAGTATAAAATCATGTTGACTCTAGTTGAATCGTGTCATTGATTGCGATGGAAGGAGCTACAACAAACATCCCCCTCATTAGATGCCTGACTGAACATCTTGTACACTTAGACTGCATATGAATTAAGCTAGTATTTACTGTACATTGCACATTTTTACAGTGAGAAATGTATAATGAAACTCAGAGGGCAAAGAGAAACTATAACAGTAGGTTATCTAATACAAAAACATTCAAAGTGATGGAGCTATGACAAACATTACAGATCAGACACTGAATGATAAGATGTGTGTATCATGTAAAATTTGATGATTAGGCCTATATCATTTTGGCTACATTGTTCAACTAAAGATTTCACCATGTTTATTTTCAAATCCCCAGTAGGCTACAAAACAATGACTTGTTTTGCAAAGTGTGGAATGTGAACAAATGTTCAAATGAATGTGGTGGTTGTTTGTTTTCAATTCCTATTTCTCTCATTTCCAGATCCAGTTGCGGTTCAACCATCTCTGGATCCAGGGGTTGTTGGTTCAGATCACTCCTTGCCTTTGAGAACCGCCAGCAAGGATGCAGCAACAGCCGTCATCACTGGCAAGGCAGACACAGTAACCAGTGACAAAGCTACAACACTTATCCAGGTTGATGATGATGATGATACAACAGTCATTAAGGCTGTAACAGCAGATGCTGCTGCTGCTACACCCAATGAGGGCGTTACGCCTATCAAGGATGCTACCACACCCATCAAGGATGCACCTATCGATGGCGTAACAGCTTATGTCGCACCAGCCACCAAAGGGGAGGTTATAGCTGAATCCCCTGCCATTATTGCTAAAACAACTGTTGGCAAGGAAGTATTAACTGCCGACAAGGGCAAGACAACCAAATTGAATGAAGAAGCAGGACGGACGACTGAAGAACTACCTCCCAATCCCACTGATTCAGATGCTGCTGCTGCCTCTACCGTGGCTGCAGATACAGCCATCAGTACCTCCACCACCACAGTCAAAGCCCCAGAGCCTGCCAAGCCCACCCTGGAGAAACCAAGCCCTGCCTCCAACACCAAGCTTGTCGGTCGCGTGGACCCTACAGAGGATGCGCAAGAGGACAATTCTATCAAAAACTTTGACGACAACCTAGAGTCCCAGACAGAGACTGACATGTACGACGTTGAGGAGGACGACTATGACCCGAGGCCAGCAGTTAAGGCCCCTCTGGACCAGAACCAGAACTTTGGCGGCCAAGACTTCGAGGAGGAGGAAGACATGGTGAACGCAGACAATGACCCGGTGGTGTTCGGACCAGCAGAGAATGCTGGGAAGATAGATGTGCGTATGAAGGACACCAACATCTACACCATCCAGGATGAGGACTCTCACTTCTTCTTCCACCTGGTCATCCTGGCCTTCCTGGTGGCCATCGTATACATCACCTACCACAACAAGAGGAAGGTAAGCAGAGGAAGAATACTTTATTAATCCATACAAGACAAAGTTGTATTCTGGTGTACTCTACCTCCTATCTAGCTTCAACTAAAATATAAACGCAACAATTTCTAAGATTTTACTGAGTTAGTGTTCATATAAGGAAATCAGTCAATTGAAATAAATTCATTGGGCCCTGAACTATGGATTTCACATCTGTTGGTCACAGATACCTTTAAAAAAAAGGTAGGGGTGTGGATCAGAAAACCAGTAGTATCTGATGTGACCATTTGCCTCATGCAGCACGATATGTCCTTCGCATAGAGTAGATCAGGCTGTTGATTGTGGCCTATGGAATGTTGTCCCACTCCTCTTCAATGTCTGTGCGAAGTTCCAGGATATTGGCGGGAACTGGAACACGTTGTCGTACACCGATCCAGAGCATTCCAAACATGCTCAATGGTTAACATGTCTGGTGAGTATGCAGGCCATAGACATTTTCAGCTTCCTGGATTTGTGTACATACCTTGCGACATGGGGCCGTGCATTATCATGCTGAAACATGATGGCGGCGGATGAATGGCACGACAATGGGCCTCAGGATCTCATCATGGTATCTCTGTTCATTCAAATTGCCATAGATAAAATGCAATTGTGTTCGTTGTCCGTAGCTTATGCCTGCGCATACCATAACCCCACTGCCACCATGGGACATCAGCAAACCACTCGCCCACACGACGCCATACACGTGGTCTGCGGTTCGAAGTACTGCCAAATTCTCTAAAATGACGATGGAGGCGGCTTATGGTAGAGAAATTAACATTAAATTATCTGGCAACAGCTCTGGTGGACATTCCTGCAGTCAGCATGCCAATTGCACACTCCCTCAACTTGAGACATCTGTGGCATTGAGTTGTGTGAGACAACTGCACATTTTAGAGTGACCTTATATTGTCCTGGGCACAAGGTGCACCTTTGTAATGATCATGCTGTTTAATCAGCTTCTTGATATGCCACACCTGTCAGGTGGATGGATTATCTTGGCAAAGGAGAAATGCTCACTAACAGGGATGTAAATCCATGTGTGTACAATTTGAGAGAAATAAGCTTTTTGTGCGTATGAAACATTTCTGGGATTTTTTATTTCAGCTCATGGAACATGGGACCGACCCTTTGACCGACCCTTTGACCGACCCTATGTTGCGTTTTATATGTTTGTTGTGTGTGTGTGTGTACATAGAGTGTATTCAGACCCCTTGACTTTTTCCACATTTTGTTACGTTACAGCCTTATTCTAAAATTGATTAAATTGTTTTTTTGTTCATCAATCTACACACAATACCCCATAATGACAAAGCAAAAACAGGTTTAGACATTTTTGCAAATGTACTAAAAATAAAAAGCTGAAATATTACATTTACATAAGTATTCAGACACTTTATTCAGTACTTTGTTGAAGCACCTTTGGCAGCGATTACAGCCTTGAGTCTTCTTGGGTATGACACTACAAGCTTGGCACACCTGTATTTAGGGAGTTTCTCCCATTCTTCTCTGCAGATCCTCTCAAGCTCTGTCAGGTTGGATGGGGAGTGTCACTGCACAGCTATTTTCAGGTCTCCAGAGATACAGTGGGGGAAAAAAGTATTTAGTCAGCCACCAATTGTGCAAGTTCTCCCACTTAAAAAGATGAGAGAGGCCTGTAATTTTCATCATAGGTACACGTCAACTATGACAGACAAAATGAGAAAAAAAATCCAGAAAATCACATTGTAGGATTTTTTATGAATTTATTAGCAAATTATATGATGGAAAATAAGTATTTGGTCAATAACAAAAGTTTCTCAATACTTTGTTATATACCCTTTGTTGGCAATGACACAGGTCAAACGTTTTCTGTAAGTCTTCACAAGGTTTTCACACACTGTTGCTGGTATTTTGGCCCATTCCTCCATGCAGATCTCCTCTAGAGCAGTGATGTTTTGGGGCTGTCGCTGGGCAACACGGACTTTCAACTCCCTCCAAAGATTCTTGCGTGAGATCTTGCGTGGAGCCCCAGATCGAGGGAGATTATCAGTGGTCTTGTATGTCTTCCATTTCCTAATAATTGCTCCCACAGTTGATTTCTTCAAACCAAGCTGCTTACCTATTGCAGATTCAGTCTTCCCAGCCTGGTGTAGGTCTACAATTTAGTTTCTGGTGTCCTTTGACAGCTCTTTGGTCTTGGCCATAGTGGAGTTTGGAGTGTGACTGTTTGAGGTTGTGGACAGGTGTCTTTTATACTGATAACAAGTTCAAACAGGTGCCATTAATACAGGTAACGAGTGGAGGACAGAGGAGCCTCTTAAAGAAGAAGTTACAGGTCTGTGAGAGCCAGAAATCTTGCTTGTTTGTAAGTGACCAAATACTTATTTTCCACCATAATTTGCAAAGAAATTCATTAAAACTCCTACAATGTGATTTTCTGGATTTTTTTTCCTCAATTTGTCTGTCATAGTTGACTAGTACCTATGATTAAAATTACAGGCCTCTCTCATCTTTTTAAGTGGGAGAACTTGCACAATTGGTGGCTGACTAAATACTTTTCCCCCCCCACTGTATTCGATAGGGTTTAAATCCGGGCTCTGGCTGGGCCACTCAAGGACATTCAGAGACTTGTCCCGAAGCCACTCCTGCATTGTCTTGGCTGTGTGCTTAGGGTCGTTGTCCTGTTGGAAGGAGAACCTTCGCCCCAGTCTGAGGTCCTGAGTGCTCTGGAGCAGGTTTTCATCAAGGATCTCTCTGTACTTTTCTCCGTTCGTCTTTCCCTCGATCCTGACTAGTTTCTCAGTCCCTGCTGCAGAAAAACATCCCCACAGCATGATGCTGCCACCACCATGCTTCACCGTAGGGATGGTGTCAGGCTTCCACCAGACGTGACGCTTGGCATTCAGGCCAAAGAGTTCAATCTTGGTTTCATCAGACGAGAGAATCTTGTTTCTCATGGTCTGAGTATTTAGGTGCTGTTTTGGCAAACTAAGCAGGCTGTCATGTGCCATTTACTGAGGAGTGGCTTCCGTCTGGCCACTCTACCATAAAGGCCTGATTGGTGGAGTGCTGCAGAGATGGTTGTCCTTCTGGAAGATTCTCCCATCTCCACAGAGGAACTCTGGAGCTCTGTCAGAGTGACCATCGGGTTCTTGGTCACCTCCCTGACCAAGGCCCTTCTCCCCCGATTGCTCAGTTTGGCAGGGCGGCCAGCTCTAGGAAGAGTCTTGGTGGTTCCAAACTTCTTCCATTTAAGATTGATGGAGGCCACTGTGTTTTTGGGGACCTTCAATGCTGCAGAAATAGAGCTCCGAGACAATCCTGTCTCTGAGCTCTACAGACAATTCCTTCGACCTCACAGCTTGGTTTTTGCTCTGACATGCACTGTCAACTGTTGGACCTTATAAAGACGTGTGTGCCTTTACAAGTCAATTGAATTTACCACAGGTGGACTCCAAGTTGTAGAAACATCTCAAGGATGATCAATGGAAACAGGACGCACCTGAGCTCAATTTCGAGTCTCATTGCAAAGGGTCTTAATACTTATGTACATAAGGTATTTCTGTGTTATTTTCAATAAATTTGCAAACATTTCTAAACCTTTTTTCGCTTTATCATTATGGGGTGTTGTGTGTAGATTGAGGAAAACATTTTATTTAATCCATTTTAAAATAAGACTAACGTAACAAAGTGGAAAAAATCAAGGGGTCTGAATACTTTCCAAATGCACTGTACACATTAGGTTGGAGAGGCTGAAGCAGTGGGTAGCCACTTTGCTTAACCTGCACAACGGCAGGAGATGTAAGGAGAAGCACGTATTCTATCTCTGTATTAGGAAGGACCAAACATGACTATTCTAAAACATATTTGGGTTGGTTTTCTTCAGTTAGGCTTTGTCTTGAAATGGTCACTTTAAACACAAATTCCCACACTTTTTCACACATAATTGTGTATTATGATGATTATATAGCCTCCTTTTGCAGTTAGGCTATTGAGTCTTCATTTCCCTAATGGGTAGCCAAGCCACATTGTTAGCGTGGGGAATCCCCATTCACACCCCTTTTTAATCTAGGATAATTTTTGCCTTTTAGAATATGATTACATTGACAGAAGGGACCTGATCCTAGATCGGCGCTGCAACTGAGATGCTTTATGAATACTGGCCCGGGTTACAATTTCGAAAGGTTAAAGGTCAACTTGAATATCCCTTCTCTCCAGATCTTCCTCCTGGCCCAGAGTCGGCGCTGGAGGGACGGCCTGTGCTCTCGCAAAAATGTGGAGTACCATCGGCTGGACCAGAATGTCAACGACGCCATGCCTTCCCTCAAGATGACTCAAGATTACATTTTCTGAGCAGAGAAGGAAGTTGAAAAGACTGAACTGAATTGAAAAAACCTGTTTCCAGCTGCTTTGTTGAAATGTTCGCTTGCCCACAAGCTTGCCCCACTTCCACTTGCTTCAGGACAATCCTGGGCAGGCAGGAGTTTGATGGTACTTCAACTCTGTAATTGATAGCCTACACATTTTCAATGTTCATCCACGTACGCTGGAAATATTACTTTCTTTGTTTTGTTAACCATACTCTTAGTTTGAAATGATTTATTTGGGTGAAAGAGACTGGTCTATATGAAAAACGTTCACCATGTTTAAGCCTTACTTTCCTTCTACACTTAAAATATTGTTTTGCTCTCATTTATTTTCTGTTGCAGATTACACACTCAGAAAATTTGAATGTAAAGATTGATTCTGACAATGTCAAGATAAATATGTCCAGTGATACTTTGCTCGTTAGTCACTAGTTTGCCCAGCAAGGAATGAAGGCTATTTGTAGTGGTTAGCCTCAAAGCCCTCAAGCCACAAACATTTGCAGAAGATAATATTGTAGGTATACAGCAAACTACCAGTGTTTCCCAACTCCGGTCCTCCAGTACTCCCCCAACAGTACATATTTGTGTTGTGGCCCCGGGCAAGCACACCTGATTCTACTTGTCAACTAATCATCAAGCCCTTGACAAGATTAATCAGATGTTTTTGTCCCAGGCTATAACAAAAATATGTTGTGTAGGGGGTACTGGAGGACCGGAGTTGGGAAACACTGTACTACACAATATAGAACTTTTATAAAAAAAAGGTCTATACAGCAAATACTGACAATTATTTACATTTGTTGTGGTCATTTCTTACGCTAAATCCATTGGACAAGTGAGGACTTTTATTGACACGACAGAACCCACCACCACATTGTGATATGGTGGCAGTTATTCCCTTGCCTGTAATTGTATTTTTCCATAATCTGGCATTTTACTGGTCTTATTAACACGTTGTCCAGATTGTGCTATACACTTATCCCAGGGCTGGTCCTCCTTTTGTATTTGTTTGGTCGTTCATTCTCTTTCTATAGGAAATGTGCCCTCTTCCTGTGGCCTAATGTGCATGTAAAGCACTACTTCGACACAGATTACCTTCGGTCAGGACTGCCCAACCCTCTTCCTGGAGATCTACTATCCTGTAGGTTTTCAGTCCAACCCTAATTTAGCATATCTGATTCAGCTAGTTAAGGTCTTGTTGAGCAGCTAATAAGTAGAATCAGGTGTGTTAAATTAGGGTTGGACTGAAAACCCACAGGATGATAGATCTCCAGGAAGAGGGTTGGACTGAAAACCCACAGGATGATAGATCTCCAGGAAGAGGGTTGGACTGAAAACCCACAGGACGGTAGATCACCAGGAAGAGGGTTGGACTGAAAACCCACAGGACGGTAGATCACCAGGAAGAGGGTTGGACTGAAAACCCACAGGACGGTAGATCACCAGGAAGAGGGTTGGACTGAAAACCCACAGGACGGTAGATCACCAGGAAGAGGGTTGGACTGAAAACCCACAGGACGGTAGATCACCAGGAAGAGGGTTGGGCCTTAGGTCAATCAGCTCTCTGTCCGCATCCCTAATGGCACCCTATTCCTTATGTAGTTCACTACTTTTGACCAGGGCCCTATGGCTCTGGTCAAAAGTAGTGCACTGTGTAGGGAATGGGTTACCATTTGGGAGTCAGTCTGGAGGCGACGATAACAACCACCATCAATCACTCAGTCATCGTTACCTTAACAAGCCTTCAATTCTAATGCCATATCCTGTGACAAGAATCCAGAATTATCAATTCTCATGCACTTGTCAGTCGCTGTTAATTTTCCACTGTCTTTTCGGTACAGAGAAGAAGCATTGTAGCCTGAGTGCCAGTCTGTTTGTGCTAACATGCCAACTCGTTGTCAGTCATTGTCATGACAAAAATGTTTGCCTTGACAATGAGCAATGGCGTTGGAAAGGGCACAAAGGTTGCATCTATACAGGCAGCCCAATTCTGATATTTTTTCCACTAATTGGTCTTTTGACCAATCACATCAGATCTTTTCACAGATCTTTTTCAAAAGGCCAATTTTAATGAACAAAATATTAGAATTGGGCTGCCTGTGTAAACACAGACGAAATCAGGGACCAGGCTAAAGCGTTGTAAATAGGTGGTGGATTTCAGCTCTGTCAAGAGCTGTGCGCACTCTGGTGTCACGACAATCTAAAGCATGGGAGGGAGTTGTCATGCATGGAACAGAAATACTGTATTGTGTAGCTTTCATATAGCCTGTGGTGGGTGGACACTGCTTTGAGATCAACTGTAGAGATTCTACAAACTTTTGTCAATAAAGCACAATTGTATATGGGGCCCCTTTTTTTATTTGTCTTGCTAATGCTTAATTTTCTACTAAATAAATGTTAATATCTGTTTGTTCTTATATTTCTTCTAAATGAATTTACCTCCACAGCAGGTTGTAAGAGTCATCAAAAAACTGTTAGTTGTATTCATTACTACTATGGCTGACCTTGTAAAACAACACATTTCACTGCACCTATCCAGTGTATGTGATGATAAAACACATTCAAATTTTTTTTAAACTAACTGTTGAATGATGATGGTATTACTGAGAGAGCTTGATATGAGATGAGTCCTGTGGGTAAGTCTTGAATGAGGTAAAGGGCCTGTTCTATAGATAGACAGATAAGGCTGCAGTTGGTCACATCACCACTTGATGTCAGTAGAGACACATACAACTCCGTGATGATGAGACGGGGTAAACAGCATCTAAGTTTGAGAACATTCAGAAGGGCACTTCTGGGAAGCTTCCAGCTTGAGTAAAATAAAATAACTTGGTAACTGTTTAAGCTTGACTAGATATGCCTATCATCCTAAAACTTGGCAAGCACAGAGTAGGCTAATTAATAACCACGTAAGTAAGTAGAACGTACTTATTTATTTACATGGTTGATTTCATGAACACCCAACGCTGTCAATTGAAGTGAAACCAAAGATTCCATTGCTACACAAAAGCACATGATAGTGGGTACATGAAAAACAAACTTGCAAAGCGTTGGAAATATGCGGACCCAAATCTGCAGTGATATTGAAAACATGGGATGTCAAGGTCATGCAGGACGGTTGATTAAGGCTGATATTGGGCATTTTGGTTGTGATATTTTGGCCTGCAGTCGGTAAGTGGGTGTTTCTCCTATGGAAATATATGGACTGGAAACCGGGGGGCAAGCCTCCCTCCGCAGATAGATAAAACACCTGGAATACAGCCAATACTTATCCAAGCACACATATCAGATGTATATGTTCTGGCTGTTGCTTTATCTTCACGTGGAGGTCAAGGTGTGCCTCATTGACAAGCTAGCTCTGTGTCGGGGCCTGTTGGAGAAAGGTTGCTGTTGTAGGTAATAGTTAGGATATATGGTATTTTCATAGGTGCTGTATGTTTCTGTATGTAGGCCCTGCCTCAAACGTATGTACCTAACTTATGTGCTCTCTGTCATCTGGGGCTGCGTGGCAAATGGCCCAGGAACATGAGGCAAACACAAAGAACAATGATTTAAGGGCCAGTACGCCCTTCCCCCTCTGAGGGGCCAAATGTATCTCTCTCTCTCTCCAACAGTAACCAGAGAATTGACTATGGAAATGTGTGTTAGAATAACACTATTGCATCAATGTTTGGTGTCTATCAGAAACTTGTCACCTGAGGAGAACTCTGACACTATCTATATGGATGTATGGTCTCTGTGGTAACTTGTGTCAGTACAGGGTGAACTCTAAACTACCCTATAAAAAAGGGGCTTTATTGTCTCTAGGAACTCTGCCTTATCTGCATTAGGTCTCCTTTAGACCTTCAGATGCTGTGACACCCTGTGGAGATTGGGCTTGGCTGATCAGGTTACTGTAACTTGAAATCTTTTGATGGGTCAATGGTGGTAGGTTTTGGTTTGAAAGTGTCACACCTTGTGTTATAAATGGAATGAAGTGCCTTTTGTTCAGTCTCTTATCCTGTATCCTGTCCATGGAGAACGGTTGTATGATCAATTCTCATTTCCTATTAGGCATCTATTTTTTCATGCTTTGGCTTGTAACTGTAAGATTTGTATGCCTAGATTGTGATGCTATGTAACTTAAGCTTTTTGCCTGGTATAATGTTATAATTCATTTTACAAAGTAATTAAATACACTTGCATTTTGCATTCGCTTCTCATTAACATTTCTTGATCTTAGTCAGCTAAACGTATAATACTTCATTGCACATGGTATCAAATGGAGTCAGATAGTCAGGTTTATCAAATGTAGATGGTTAAATATGATTTGGCAACACAAGGATATTTGTGGACCAATGTGTGAATGCAGGTGTCATACCTAATTTCTTTCTTCTTTACCAGTATATTTTCTTCATGTCGTCAAAATGTTGTTTCAGTTCACAGAGCCCAGTCTCCTAATGGATTCTTATTTTTGATTCAAGTTCTTCATAATGAATGTTCATATTGTGTGAGACTTTTTAAGGCCTACTATTGGTTGATGCTCCACAGGAAGTGGTATTTACCTTAATTTATGGCAAATTAACTTAACAAGTATCCCTACCACAAAATGTGACAATTGCCTTTTCATTGGTCAGTAGTATGCAGTAAGATGAACATATCTGACCTCCTCTACCCTTTCTAATTACTTGACTGAGACTTTTAATTTCCTGTCCCTGCTTTCAAACTAAAAGTCACCCGGGCGGCATAGTCCACTCTGTCTAGACTGTCTAGTCCTGTTTGCCCCGTTTGATCTGGGTGTGTTATTTTAATATTGACTATAGCTTTACTGTCCTGAGTTTCTTTCTGGGAATAGGGAAAGCCTACAGTGTACAGTGTTGACTCTTGGATTACCTCTTGTTGGTAAACGCCACACATGTCTGGGGCCTCCCTCACTTCTCTCATTCTGCTGTCATCCTCCCCTTGAAGACTGCCTGCCTTCTTCTCTGAGGGGCCCGTTTCCCTGGG